TAAAGAGCACTGAAAATGGTAGGTTTATGGGTAAAAATATAAGATTTTACTCTTATTATTTAAATCTCTTTAAATTAGTTACATTTAAGAGAAAAACATTGTAGCATGGAGTTTATAATATATGTAAAATTGAGCTGTGTGGCATAGGTAGCATAAAGGTTACTAGGAGAATAATGGAAATACACTATGGAAAAGTTGATCCTTATGAAATATATGATGTAGTATAAAATCACTTAAAAGTAAATTGTAATAAGTTAATGATGTATACTATAAATCTTAAAACAACCACTAAAATGGCAAAACAAAGAATTGTAGATCATAAGCCAACAAAAGAGAAAATAGAGAAAAATGTTCAAATAATTTAAAAGAAAGCAAGATAAAGAGGAAAATAAAAGCCCAGCATATAGAATGGATCGAAATCAAACTGCAAGATGATATACTTATACCTAACCATATCAATAATCTCATTACATGTAAATGGCCTAAACACTCCAATAAAAAGGCTGAGATTGTTCAAATGGATAAAAAAAGAAATCCCTACTATTGCTGTCAACACAAAACTCACTTTAAATATAAAGATACAGATAAGTTAAGGCAAAGAAATAGGATAGGAAGGGGCATCTGGGTGGCTCAGTCAGCTAACTGTCTGACTCTTGGATTCTGCTTGGGTCATGATCTCATGGTTCGTGGGTTCAAGCCCTGCATCAAGCTCCACACTAATAGCTGTGGAGCCGGCTTGGGATTCTCTGTCTCCCCCTCTCTCTGCCCCTCTCCCACTCACTCTCTCTCTCTCTCTCTCTAAATAAATAAACATTAAAAGTGTTTTATTTTATTTTTTAAATGTTTATTTATTTTTGAGAGAGAGACAGAGTGTGAGCAGAGGAGGGTCAGAGAGAGAGGGAGACACAGAATTTGAAACAGGCTCCAGTCTTTGATCTGTCAGCACAGAGCCTGATGCAGGCTCGAACTCATGGACCATAAGATCATGACCTGAGCCGAAGTTGGCTGCCCAACTGACTGAGCCACCCAGGCACCCCTCAAAATTTTTAAAAAGGTAAAGAGGGGCGCCTGGGTGGCTTAGTCGGTTAAGCGTCCGACTTTCGCTTAGGTCATGATCTCGCGGTTCGTGGGTTCGAGCCCCGCGTCGGGCTCTGTGCTGACTGCCAGCTCAGAGCCTGGAGCCTGTTTCAGTCTGTGACTCCCTCTCTCTCTGACCCTCCCCTGCTCACACTGTCTCTCTCCTAGAAATAAATAAAACATTAAAAAAAAATTTTAAAAGGTAAAGAAATGGGGGAAGATAAACTGTGCTAAGACTAATCAAAAGGAAGCTGGAGTGCCTATGCCAATATGAAACTAAGTAGATTTCAGAACAAAGACTATTACCATGGATAAATAATATATATGAGAGGACTAAAAGTACATAACACCATTTAGACTCAGGATATAAGCTGCTGGTTATATAATAGTATAGATGTTAACTTTCCTAATTGATAACTATCCCATGCTTGTAGAAGAGAATTTCCTAATTCTCTTATAATAATTAATTATGAATAAGTAAACAGGCACAATGTAATACAACTTACTATGAAATGAGAGGGATAAAGCTAAGGTAGCAAAATGTTAACCATGAGTAGATCTGCTTTAGCATATATAGGAGTTCATGTACTATTACTGCAACTTTTCTATAAAATTTGCAATCAAGACAAAATAAATGTTGAAAAATTGTATACACACCACTCCCATAAATATAAAAATAATATCCTTATATAAAATAAATATCCCAACTTCTTTATTCCATAGCACTGCTGAAGTTCTAATATCAAGTCTCTATTAAATGTTTATTATGACTTTCCTTCCATAAGGGATATGAATCATTGATATTTTGTACTATGAGGTAATCTTGAATCTCTAGAATTATACCTAGCGCTTAGTAGATGTAGAATTAATATTCTTAAATGACTGAATAAATGTTACAATTGGATATAACAGACTCTAGAGTCAGATGATCTGTGTCCAAATCCTTATTCTTCGTGTTACTGCACACAACATGGGCAAGTTACTAAGCTTCTCAGGAACTTAGCTCCTAATGAGTAGCTACCTAAAAGGGATATAGGGAGGGTGATGTCAGTAAAAATGGTGGCGTATGGAGCTTCAAAAGTCTGTTCCTCCACCAAAGCAATGAATAATCTGGCAAAAACTGTGAGAATCAACATTTTTGGGACTCTGGAATCCAATCAATGTCATACAGCAAGTGCGGGAATGATTATTCAAGAAAAACACATAGGAGTCTCAATAAAATAAGACATTTTAACGTACCTGGCACTATCTCCCACCCCTCAGCTTGGAAGTGGCCTGAAGGCAACAGTTGGTATTTCCAGGATGTACCTGGCACCAGAGGGAACAGACCTTATTCTCAAACAATTGTGGGTTTTGTCTTGACCTGTCTGGTGGCTCCTGGAAGAGCTGTCTCAAAGAGCTGGCTGTATTTCACCTAACTCAGAACTATCCCAGGGTTGAAGCAGCCACCCAGGGAGAATGTGTCAAAAATACTTAAACTCAAATGTGTGAGCTGCTGCTTCCCCAGGCAAGGAATAACAGTTGGAGGAAACAATAGTCCAGCCAAAAGCCTGGAAAGGAAACACTAGGGAATGAGAATAAGGATTTTTGGAACGCTGCCGCATATTTCTGGGAATCTAGGAAGCCATGCAAATACCCCAGGCTCAGAAAAGACCTGAGAAGGCCCTAAGCTCTTATCTCTGACTAACCTTCAGGCACTGCACAAGCAGGAAGTGACGGCTAAGGTACAGTCGTAAGCTGTCTAGCTGAGTGTTGAATACCCAACACACACACATATGCACACACATGCCATCCATCAAGACTGGAAAGTTTTTGGTTTTGTTTTTTTAGTTCCAAGTATTTAAGGAAATTTCTGTGAAATCACTAGCTGACCATAAATCTAACAGAACAGACTTCAGTGACCACACATGGCAAACTGTCATAGGATACAAACTGTACAAAACTAGTTTGGAAAAGTCATGCAACAAATCAACAACAACAAAGGAAATGCAAATCAAAACCACAGTGCGATACCACTTCACACCTATTAGGATGGCTATAAGCTCTTTTAAAAAATGAAAATAACTAGCATCGATGAGGAGAAACCTGAACTTTCATACATTGCTGGCAGGAATTTAACATGGTATAGCCACTTTGGAAAGCATTTTGGCAACTCCTCAAAAAGTTAAACGCAGGATTGCCATATAACCCAGCAATTCCACTCCCAAGTGTATATCCAAAAATTTTGAAAATATACATTCAAACAAAAAAACATCTATACACAGATGTTTATAGCAGAGTTATTCGTGAAAACCAAAAACGTCCATCAACGTGAATGGATAAACAAAATAAGGTATATTCATGTAGTGGAATACTCTTTAGCCTTAAAAAGAATGAAGTACTGGTTCATGCTACAACATGGAGAAAACACTATACTAGGTAAAAGAAAGCCAGACACAAAAAATCATAGGTTGTGTGATCCTATGTCCGTGAAGTGTCCAGAAGAGGTAAATCCATCAAAACCAGAAAGTGGCTTAGCAGTTGCTCTGAGCCAAAGAAAAGGAAGAATAGGGAGTGATCGCTTAGCTTGGATGGGGCTTCTTTTGTGGGGAGTGACAAAATGCTCTGGAATTCAAAAGTGGTAATGGATGCACAGCATTGTGAAGGTAGTAAAAGTCATTGAATTGTATACATTAAAATGGCGACTTGTAGGGGCGCCTGGGTGGCTTAGTCGGTTAAGCGTCCGACTTTCGCTTGGGTCATGATCTCGCGGTTCGTGGGTTCGAGCCCCGCGTCGGGCTCTGTGCTGACAGCCAGCTCAGAGCCTGCAGCCTGTTTCAGAGTCTGTGACTCCCTCTCTCTCTGACCCTCCCCTGCTCATGCTGTCTCTATCTCTCTCCTAGAAATAAATAAAACATTTAAAAAAATTTTTAAAAAAAATTAAAAAATAAAAAAAAATGGCGACTTGTATGTGAATTCAGTTGATTTTTTAAAAAGGAATATGGGATGCTCAGGTATGATGATGCATGTTGAATTTTCCAGGAGGGAGTCTTTCAAAATAAGTGCCCAGGAAATATTAACAGATGACCCCCTCCAACTAGCCTCTGCGGGTGTGAGTGAGAAACTGGTTCCCCAGGCCTTGCAGCAGGGAGAGGGAGACAATGGCAAAGCTTTCTTCAGGGGTCCGAGGCCCCATGAGCTGGATGAGCCTGGTCAAGCATTTCTCTCTAGTAGAGGGTCTTTGGTCGGTTGGAAATGTCAGAAATGGCCGTAGTAGGGTCTGAAATGCAGCTGTGCCCCTAACTCTTGGGAGACCTCAGGCCAAGTGCCTTCTGGATGGTGCTTTCCTCTGAAATAAGATAAAAACCAAGGGGCGCCTGGGTGGCTTAGTCGGTTAAGCGTCCGACTTTCGCTTAGGTCATGATCCCGTGGTTCGTGGGTTCGAGCCCCGCGTCGGGCTCTGTGCTGACTGCCAGCTCAGAGCCTGGAGCCTGTTTCAGTCTGTGACTCCCTCTCTCTCTGACCCTCTCCTGCTCAACTGTCTCTCTCTCTCTCTCCTAAAAATAAATAAAACATTAAAAAAGAAAAACACAAGTGAGGACTCAGGAAGCAGGAAATCCTGTGATTCCAGGGCCTGGCAAATATAAAGCAGGAGACCCTGCCCAGAGAGGCCAGGCTGGGGCTGACCCCCGTTCCGGCGTGCCTGGGGCTCTGTCTCCTTCCACTTGCCACACCTGCCCCGAGGGCGGACGTTCCTAGGCAGCCCCCTCACCTCGCGGACTCCAAGCCCTCTTTTCACTCTCACGCTCAACTGCCAAATTCAGGACCGTTGTCAGGCTGCGGACTTTCTGCGGGCGGAGCGGGTAGTGGGAGGGGCTTGGCCTCTGATTGGACGAGGGCTTCGGGGGCTGGGAGATGGGCGTGGCCAACGGCCAGAGCCCAGGCAGGTGGCGGTTGATTTCGGGCAGCGTCTGGCTTAGTTACTCCGGGATGCATCAGAGTTGTCTCCCCTGACAACCCGGCTTATACGCACCCTCCCTGTCCAAGGAAGATCAGGACTGCCTTAAGGATGCAGGAAAAACCCCGAGGCCCAGGATGTGGGGAACTGGGCGCCCCCTCCCTTACCTCAGGTTGGTTGCAGAAGCTGCGGCCTTGGCGTCGCCAAAGCCACCGCTCTGCCCCGTCAGGGCGTGGCCCCCGCGTAGCAGGGCTGAGCCCCCTCCCCTCGCAACTCCGCCCCGCTTTTTCTCCCTTTACCTCTATGTTTGGTCTCCCGCGAAAGGATTCCATTCTCCCCTTTCCGAGGAGTCGCCCCCTGCAGGCGGTGGAGGAGCACAGGACTCCGAGGGCTGGGACTAGCCTGGCAGAACCGCGCCCTCCCCCCCCCCCCCCCCCCCCCCCCCCGGGGCCGGGCGAGGACCCCAGCAGCCCCTCTCATCTCATCTCGTAGACTGGCTCCCCCGGGGTTTGACGGACGTTCCTTCGTGGCTCCCTTCCCTATCCCGTTTCTCACCTCCTTTCCCAGCGTGAGGGGTGGAGGCTTGGGGTCTGGAGACCACCTGGGCAAGGTCAGGGGCTCCCATCTAAGCTGGGTGGGGGAAGGGGGGGAAGCCCTTGCAAACATTTGCTCTCACCTGAAACGCGACGGAATAGTAACTCCTAAGTCAGAACCTCCATGCGAATGGGAGTGTCTTTTGAAAGCAGGTGTTGCATGCACTGCTTGTAGTTTTAACTTGGCCGAGTTTTCCGCCCACCGGCCGCCTTTCTGTACATCAAGTTTATTTCCTTTTGCCTTCACAGGACTGGTCACTGTCGATGATCATCGGTCAAGCATAACCAAGAGCCTGGACTCTATTTGTGCACGCGGTCGTCTTCTAGGAACTAGAAAGTCACCTTTCAGGAGTCTGCATTCCCAGCGGGACCTTCCTCGCTCGTGCCTTCCCTGCCTTCACCCATGTGTTAGCTACCTGGAAGAGAGTCTGCTAGTAGGACCCGTTGCCGCACTCGTCTCCCCCTCAAGATGCTCAGTATTCTCCCTTCACTGCGGAGAGCGGAGCTTGGTCCAGGCAGCAGGAGAAGACAAAGACAAGGCCCTCATGGGTCAAGGTCCCTTCAAGGTCGAGGCCCACAGGATCCCTAAGTAGAGAGGGCTGGGCGTGAGCAGGAACCCCACTGCGGGCTCTTGTAGCAGTGAAGAGGATGGGTCCCGTGCCCTCCTCAAAGCTCACTGCGCACCCAAAGGCTCTTCCATTTACCATCAACGTGGAAACTTGGCTCTTCCCATGAGTATATTCTCCCTCTTTTTGTGCATTATCTTGTTCCTTAAAACTGCCCTTCCATGAAGAAGGCCTGTGGGGTTAAGGGGCCTGGCCAGTCACGCAGAGGTGACTGAGCCCCTCAGACCTCAGATTGGGTAGACAGATTTAATAAAGGCGTTATGACCTTGACTGCCAGGACTTGTGTGATTGGTGTGCAGGGTCAGGAGATTAGGATGGTCCTTTTTTTTCCTTCCATCCAAACCAGGTGCACAGTATTTGTGCCACAGACAAGTGGGCAATGAGGGGAGGCTGGGGTGGAAGGCGGGATTATAAGGGGTATCCCTGGCTCCCCCCCGTTCCCTCTTTGAAGAATGCTGCTCAGAATCTCAAGGAGGGACCTGACACCAGTCGGTTTGCTAGACACCTGGCAGGGCTTTCTCTGAGCTTCCACATGGGAATAGGGCAAGAACCAAAGGGACAAATTTACCCTCCAGAAGGTCAGGCCATTAGGGTGGGTGTGAAGGGGGGTAAATGATTCATATTGAGGTCCTGGGATCTCATTACTATTTTTGAAACTTGGTTCTCGTAGTCCTTGACGAAGGATAATGGGAAAATTAATAAGGAACAGATTACCGGTGGGAGGGGGTGGTTATCCTCAGAGTGGGGACCCAAGATTTCAGGTATCCTGTCACTAGGCTGGGCTGCGCAGCTGGCAGAGGGTGGGCAAATTTCCTGGATCTCACAGTTGGTAGTGAAAGTCCTTGAGGAAAAAACATTCACTTGTCGGGGCTCTGGAGGTTGCCCCATGCCCTGTCCCCTCTTCCTGTCTCATTTTGCCCATGTGCCATGGAGACCAGAACTGATCTGGCAAGAGAACAATCCCTAGGCCTCCCATGTTGGGGCCCTTGCTCTGTGCTTTTCTCCTCCAGTGAGGACCATGGAATATTCTGGGAGTTGTTTTCAGTAATGACTCTGGGGTCTCCTAAGGAGCAGGAATGGTAGAGCCTGTACAAAGCTAGAGCCATAATCATTAAGCACCGAGTTCATCGGGGCACAGGGAATGAGTTCATGTGTTCTTGTTCTTGGAGGACTTATAAATTAAAAGTATGGAATCATTTGTAATCAGAATAATAACCCCCTGGCAGGGATATTGATGAGCAGAGGAGGGCTTACTTGGAGACCTCTGATCTTTCCAGCCCCAAGACTCTGGGCCTAATACCTGCATAATCATTAGTGTTCTGTAATTTACAGCAGTGTTACCATTGATCCATGTCATTAATCATCATGAATTGGTGATTTCTCAAATGCTGTGGGTTGTTTGTGGAGCAACATAGAGCTCTGCGATTTACAAACATGGATATCCTTGGAGGTAGAGAGATGCCATGGCCATTTTACAGATGAGAATACTGAGGAAGACTCCACTCTCTTGAAGGAGAGGTATGCAGTGCGCTTGCCCTATTGGGCCTGCTGGCTTATTCCTCTCTCCAATCCCCACATTTGAGCAAGCAAAATCAAAAAAATTACGCCTCAGTTTGTCAGGATGTTTAAGGGCTTAGGGGGCAGCCTTCTACTTTTCATAATACAGACACTGAGACAGGCACAGAGAAGGCATTAAATATCTGTTCAATAGATTTCTCCATGTCTTCCATTTTTTAATGTTATGTGTCCTTTAACCCTCATAGCTTGCATGTTATGATTCCTTCCAGATAATTCACTGAGATTTTTTTTAATGTTTTATTCATTTTTGAGAGAGAGAGAGAGAGACAGCATGAGGAGGGGAGGGCCAGAGAGAGAGGGAGCTACAGAATCCGAAACAGGCTCCAAGCTCCGAGCTAGCCATCAGCACAGAGCCCGATGCGGGGCTCGAACCCACGAACCGTGAGATCATGACCTGAGCTGAAATCAGACACCTAACCGACTGAGCCACCCAGGCGCCCCTAATTCATTGAGATTCTAATGGCTGCTGCTGTTGTTAGGTAACTTTGGGCAACTCCAATGATTAGATTACCCAGCTCTTCCCCTAACTAGTTCTATGACTTGCAGCACATTGTTTATCCTCTCTGTGTCTCAGTTTTCTAGGTGGTAAAATGGGTGACCTAACCTTGTGTCATGGGTGAGGATTATGAAGAATAGCACATGGATGCTTACTGCTCTGTTTGGGAAATGACAGGAGTTTCCTCTTCCCTGCTTGGACAGTCCTTTGGATTCTTCAAAGAGCTTTGCTATCCATGGCGTCTCAACAGCCAACAGGGGAGAGCCCTGAGTCTGCTCTTCCCTAGCTACTTCAAGGCCAACTCAGATTCCGTAAACCTTCCTCAAAGACTTCTCCTCTTCTGTGCAACAGCTCTCCCCTCAATAAATTTGCCCTGGAATAATCTGGAGGGCCAGGGGCTCACCACCCTCAGTAATTCTCTACTCATTTGGTGTCCAGTCATCCCTACATGAAAACCTGTAAAAGACAAGTGGATTTGATGGTGGGGCTATGCCTTAGAGCCTCTAGTGCTCACGGAGAAGCCTGTCCTTTCCTCCTTCACTAAGTTTTGATATCCCAGCGAACCTCTCTTCCTCTATGGGGCCAGGTGCCTTTGCCTTCCCACAGGGAAGAATAAGAGCCTCAAAACATATACAGCACAAACACTCAAATCCTGAAAAGGACCTCAGAGTGTGGGGGCAGGGTGGGGAGCTGCTTGCCTCCTAGCTTCCCTAGGGAGAGGGCCCACAGGGACACTCCAGGTGGAGCCCCATCCCGGGCCTCTGCTCTTGTGCCCCCTTCTAGATGTGGATAGAAGATAGGCTGGACCCATACCCTGGACCCGTACAGCTTTGTCCCCCCAATTTTTCCTATGATTATGCCCCTCACCTCTTCCCTACTGGTGCTTGCCTGATCCCTCTCACCTCCCACTTCCTTTGTTTAACCAATAGCAGACTATGGTCTCTGACCCCTGTCCCACCTGGTCTGGCACTGGAGGGCTGATAGAGCCTTATACTCTCTCATGGAAAATTCCTGGCAAAGCCACCCTTCTCAGCCTCATGCTGCAACTCTCTAGAGCCCTATATCCTTTGTGTCTCTCCCAGACTTGACTGTTCTCTTGCTGTGTGGATATTTTCTTTCCCTCCTTGGCTATCTTCTCGGCCTCACTTCTATTTTGTACAGCAGGCAGGCATCACTGTAATGGCTGAGTGCGTGTGTGTCGAGGGGGTTTGGTATGATGGGAACATCAGTTCTGGGGTCTGAAGGTTTCATCTGAGATCCCCTTCTGCTCCATAAGTTTTATAAGAACTTGGAAAAAAGACCAAATAAACAACTTGCATCCTCAGGTTGGAAAATCTCTAAACTGGGGAAAGTTCTGTGTAAGTCTGAGTTTTTAGGTAAGGAATGGAAGGCATGAAATGCCTGGGTGGCTCAGTCGGTTAAGCATCTGGCTCTTGGTTTTGGCTCAGGTCATGATCTCACGGTTTGTGAGTTAGAGCCCCGAGTAGGGCTCCATGCTGGTAGTTCAGAGTCTGCTTGAGATTCTCTCTCTCTGCATCTCTTTCTCTCTCTCTCTCTCTCAAAATAAATAAATAAAACAACTTTAAAAAGAAATGGAATGGAAGTCAGGATAATCTATGCGAAAGAATTTACCTGAAACAGTGGGATGCTGTACAATGTCCCTGGACCTGCTGTGGACTGTATATATCTCAAATGATTCCACTTGCCTTTCTCTCCCACACTCTGCAGACAAAGCTGATGTAGGGAATAAAGCCCAGTTGGCCACCCCTGGAATCAGATACTCTGGTCTCAGACCCCTCTGTCTTGTTTTCTACCCCAAACCAAAGGTGGAGGGGCTCAGGCAAGAGTATCTTGTTTTCTCATACCTGGCACAGACCTCCACAAGAGAAAACGTCCCAGAAAAATCCCAACCTCTGCTTCCCTAATGATACTAGACAAGGCTGAACTAACCTAACCCTGTTTGCAAGATTCCTCAGAAGGCAGAGTCTCTTCAGAACCCCACAAAACATGTGAGGATCAAGGAAGAATTAGACTCCTTTACTCGATGGCAGTTAGGGTCCTCCACACATCCTCCCAGACCTCTGGAGTGACCCACAGTCCTCTCCATGTACTTTCATCATGGAAGCCAGGCTCTTTGCGTGGAGGTCACCCTATCCCCAGCCATGTGTTCTGTTGTACCTCACTTCTCCCTGAAGCAACTGTGAAGTGTCAGCTCTACCCAAGGGGCCTGCCCAGCCATGCACCGCCGGATGGAGTGGAACATTTCTCTAACATCCTTTCTTTATTTCAGCTGGGACTAATGTGAGAAGTAAAGACCAAACTGGGAGCCACTCCTCATCATGTTTGTGCTGGAGAAGACCTGGATGTTAAGGAAATATGGAGAGGGCTGGTCAATGGGCTGCCCCAAGTCCTCCTACCACCCCACTGGGAAGAGCTCACCCCTAACTCAAGTGATCCAGCCTGTCCCTGGGTGATTTACCTGGCATCTGGCAGAGTCTTCCCATGAGCATTTATATCCTAGAAGGGAAAATGTCTGTTAACCCCAAGAAATGGAGGAGATGGGTGGGAGGGCTTGGTGGTGGTATTTATGTCATTCCAGATCCCCCTTGTTAGATTTTGGCTTTTATGCCAGACCTGGAACAAGGATAAAGGGTGCGCAGGGATTGGGGAGATGATAAATGAGGGAGCCCGGGGTGAGGTCAGAGGTCAGAGGTTTTTCAGGTCCTCCTGGCTGCTGATGGGATTGAGGATCTTGGAACGTGAAGGAGCATTAGGGGCTACAGAAGCTCCCATGTGCTTCCTGCCCCTTTCCTGCCTCCTGCTTTTTCTCAGAGTCATGAAGACCAGGGCTTATTTGTCAAGGGAACAGCGTTCTCCCACTCTGAGATTTTCCCAGCCAAAGTCCCGGCTCTGTACCCAGTTTCCTACCACTATTCTGGCCACAGCTGCTTTCTGTCTGGCGTCTGGATTTCTTGTGAAGGCAGAAATGATGACTCCACAAGGGCCCTCCAGGAACACGGAACCATAACCATTGGGCCTTGATCTGATTGGAGTTCAGGGAGCCACTTCCTGCCTGGGGTGAATTCTGAAATTCATCATGCACCGTCTTGCTTATAATAAGATTAATAACAGTTTCCATGGATATTGAACAGGAGATTCTAATACCCATTGAGGGAGGCTCGAGTGGATGGCATCT